TAAATTATCCTTTTTAGTTTTAATAAATTAAAATAAATATATACGAGTACATAAAATACTATTTCTAAAATGAATAATACCAACGTTTTCAAAATTAATTGTTCAAACTGCGACGCTTCTACGTAGGCCAGACTAGTAGAAGACTGACCACAAGAATTTCTGAACATAAAACACATAGTTAGAAATATTAATACTAAATCAGTAATAACGGACTACCGCGTTAATTTTAACCATGAATTTGATTCGGAGAACATTAATATTTTAGATAAAGAAATATATTACGGAAAAAGATCAGTATCAGAAATGATATACATAAAAAGACAAAATAAATAGTCTCAATCTACAGACTGATACTGAAAATCTATCTGATATTTATATCGAAGCTATAGAGAGACTACCTAAACTCTAAGGTTAAATAACAAATACAAATGATTATAATTGTTTGTCACTTTTCGTTTCCAACTGAGCTTCAGTTTCCTCTGAGCCGTTCTACTGACATGAGGATTACACTAGCGTCACTTTTGTTACTGTTACAATTAAAATATTGTCACATCATAAATATATGTAAGTTTTTATTAACATTTTTTTATACCATGTGTTAGATTATTGTTTTATAACGCACTTGATTTTGGATCTTATAATTAGTGAGGTGTAATGAGAAAATTATTTTAATTTATAGGATGCGATTAATATTTTATATTTTAACACCTGCCCACCTCGTAGTCAGAAAACTAAAGAGGATCGCTTCCCACAATAACGTAAATGTGATGGCTCAGTGAGAGTCATATTAATGTTAATCTTACGACGTTTTATTTCGTTTACTGATGTAACCGCGTTTAAATATGTTTATTATACGTTAAATACATTTAGACTTTGGTGATTTTAATTTTGTTTTTTGTACTGCGCTGAAGAAGATCCGAAAAATTGAATCGAAACGTTCGCTTTCTCATTTGTTTTAACTTTCGAGTTTATTTTTATAATTTTAGATTAATTTAAACTTTATTGTTTATATCAGTACATATTGATTAAATGTAATAAATTAGTTTTTATAACCGTAATATATATTACTTCTGCTCTTATTAGCCTTTTATATGTATAATACTTTATTTGAATTAAAGAGCATTTAATTAGTATATAATAATTAATATTTAATACTTATATAAGTAATATTTAATACTTATATAATTAATATTTAATACTTTAATATTTCAATAAATTAATACTCAATATTTAATACTATTTTGCTTTTATAAATATCTAGAAATTCAAAGTTTGTTTTACACAATAATATAACATATAAATATATAAAACAAAAAACATTCTTTGTTTACATATATTACAGATCAAAATACCAGGCTCGAATATAGCTTTGTCTTGTGGAGATATTGGATGACACGTGAAAATTTCAATTTTAAATTGGCCATAACGGATGGAAAGGTGAGTTTTAAATTTTATTTCAAAGTTTAGTGATATTTAACACAATAGTATTGTGTACTAATAAGTAATATATTTAAGCACTGCACTTCTCATTCTAAATCACTTACGGTTAATATTGTTTTAATTTTTGGCTCAAAAACATTTACTTTGCAGTATATCACTAGTGCAAAAAGAGAAATTTTTAATCTACTTACTGGAAATTCACAATTAACATTGGCTGCTATACTGAAATTGATAGATGAAGACTTCTTCCACCAGTGAAGAAGAATGGGCAAGAAAGACCACTGCAAAAGCAAAACAGTTCTTGGCAGTAAGAATTATTATCATGAGAAAGAAATATATGATATATATTAATATATATAAAATATAAGAATAGTAATATTTATAATGCAATTCAACAAAAAAAGAAGAAAATAAGTTCTTATTAATTATTAAATCCTTATTTATATATATTTTTTATCCTTATAAAAAATTACATTATTAATTAATTTTTACATTATTAATTACATTATTAATTTTTTTGTCCAATTTTGTCTTAAATTTTATATTGTTATGTTTATTGTGGAAACTTTTTTTTCTTTTACAGGAAAAATTGGGCGATAATGGGGTATTATTTTATCCTTCAAGTCCATTATCCGCCAATTATCATTATTCTACGTACTTAAGACCCTACAACTTTGGTTATTGGTGTCTATTTAATGTTTTGCGATTCCCAGTTTGCCAAGTGCCATTGGGTTTGGACGAAAATGGTTTGCCAGTCGGTATTCAGGTAGGAAAAATTATTTTATTATTATATATATTGATATTAGTATTTGTTTATAATATTTATAGTAATAGTACTATTTATATAGAAGTAACACATACTATAACCAGGGTATACTCCCGGGAAAAACCTGAAAAACTTGGAATTCTCAGGAAATTTTTTTCTACCTTAAAAAATCGTGGAATATTTATGGAATTTATTTTGAACTAAGGGAATTTTTTAAAAAATTGCCCCTTTGATTTTATTTTTAAATATAGCTTTAAGGAATATAAAATTTATTAGGTTTATATGAAGCATATTATATTTTATTATAATATATAATATTATATTATTATATTAAAAATATTTTATTTATGTTAAAAAATTATGTATAACAAAATAAACTTAATTTCAAATTGTATTTAAAATTTTTTAAATACTTTAATTTTACTTGGAACTTTGAACAAAAGTACACACCTGAAAAATTATGGAATTTATTTATAAGATTTGAGTATACACCCTGTATATAGGGACGATGCGCGCTTCTCAACCATTGACTAGAAATCAGAATTTTAGTACGCTCCTTTAGTCCCACTACAGTAAAGCGTTTTTTCGAATCACAGCATGGCGTAGCGAATTAGATGTCGGACTATAAATGTGAAGACTGCCAATTTGCGCTCCATCCTAATGGTTTTCTCACAGTGCTTATATTATATTTTTATATTATTATTAATACAATATATTACATATATTTCATAATATTTATTATTATTTTTATTTTTATTATTATTACGTTTATACGCGTGCGCACGTATCGCCTTAAACTGTTATTTTTAAAATCGTCAATGTTGCATTAAAAAGAACATATTTCCCATGAACAGTATGCAAATTAAAACAATATTTTTTTCGTATATAAGTAATAATAATAAAAAATAAAAATAATATATTGTAATATATGTATATAATAATATAATATTGTATTAAAAAACGATTTACAAGATATTTTATATCTTAATCTGATATATTTCGATAAAATACAAAATATCTCGCATCATTATAAAGCTTATTCTTTAAAAATTTTTTTGCTTTTTAGCCATTTTCAGTCATGGATATTTTATACTATATTACATTTAAAAATTTTTTAAATCTGGAAAATTCAGATAACGTTTCTCTTTTTAATTGAAGGTAGTAGCAGCTCCTTATAATGATCATCTATGCTTTGCGGTGGCCAAAGAACTTGAAGCAACATTTGGTGGATGGGTTCCACCATCATAAAGTGTGTGTGTATATATATATATTTAAACTCCTAATTATATTATAAGTTGTCACAATGTGGATACATTAAACAATGGTTTAAGAAATTATATCTTGTTTGGTAAGAGTTCTATGACTCCCTAATTATCGTACTATTACTATGGGTTTAGAAATAAGTCTTGAAGGGTTTTACGCTTTAGTCTGCATTTAGCGTTACTAGCAATTGTGAGTTTGTTTACTAATATGTTTGAATGGTTCTCCTGTAAGCGTCATTTATATTTTAACGCCGTATTACTTATTTTTCCTTTATTGTTGGGATATTTAAGTTTTTATGGAAGCATTCGTTTGTTACGTACCACGCTGCATCAACTATTATTCGCAGCATTTTGACTGATATCTTTGCACTATTTTTAAATTTGAATTTGCGGTTGTATCCCAAAGTTGTATTTCATACGTCCAAATAGTTTTTAATATGCATTTATATAGTGTCAGTTTGCTATCTCGATTTAATTGCGATTTGCTTCCTAATAGCTAATAAAGTTTCCTTAATTGAAGTCCTAGTTGTTTGTGTTTCATAAAGATGTTTTTTTCAGTTCAGTCGTCTATTTAAATAAATGCCCAGATATTTGACTTCATTAACTTACGGAATTTGTGTTTCGTAGAATTTGAGATATTTCAGCTGATGTCCCAGAGTTGAAGAATATTCCGAACACTATATACCGATCTTCGGTACCTATTTTCTCAAAGTCAACTGGTATACATTTATGTTTAATTTCTTTAACTTGAATGAAGATGCGACGGTATTTGTTTAAAGCAACTTGCCATAACTAAAAAAATATCCATGAACCATAAACAATATCAAAACTTATCTTTGGAATTCTGCAGGAATTTGATGGGATAAACCATGAAGTAAATAACTTAATAATAAACGATTTTGTACCCAATATCACTAGTCTTGGGATTACCGAATATAATATTGCTTAAAGTTTTTGTAACTTTATTGGTCATTTAACTTGATAGTTCTATAAATTCATTTAAAAATCCCCCCCCCCCTATTGACAATTTTGTTTAGATTCACCATGATATATAGTCAACCTGTGGTTTAAGGATGTTTCTTATCATGACGTAACATTATCAATCATTGTAACATAATTCAAAATTGTTTTGAATTTTTATAAATGTGTACACTGTCAATATTAATTAAAATTTTAATTACTTCTTTGTTTGGCGCTCATTAATTACGTTATCGCGTTTATTGTTAGTTTGTTTTATTTAGTTGTCGCGCTAATTATTGTATTTAAATGTTATTTTTTGTTGCTTATTGAATGCTTTCTTAATCGATCGTATTAATTTATCTTAAATTGTAACACATTGCCGATGGACAGCGAATTGGCGTTCTACGATAATTGACTTACTGAACGATGTTGCCATCGCTATCCATTGATCAAAATTATTGATCGGGAGTGGAAGTAGATTACTCGCTTGCCATACCTTACAGAAAGGAAGGTTTGGCCACTTGCTTTTGAGCACTTGCTGGTACCATCCTTGAGACAGACTCCGAAGAGAGAGAGGAGAACGCTGGACTTCGCCTGATCATTTGCATGACTGCACGCTTGGCTTGCTTATCTCTCTCTTTTGCTATTCTATCACTTGCTTGAAGACATCCGCTCCCTGCTGCACGAAAAATCTGTTATTCTTGGGAACACGAGGCACGCATTGCGCGGTGAGTCAATTACATTGCTTATTAATTATTTTCTCATTCATAATTTGCTATGCACGCGGTTTTAGCGAGAACATGGGTCTTACGCTCAAAGCCTTCGTAATTTTCGTTTCATAATTTTTGCTATTTTGCTTAATTTCGCATCAGGAGAGAATTGTCGATACTCTCCTTTACTAATTTTTATATACACTTTATCATCAATTTAAGATTTAAGCTTATTTAAAATTTAGGCTTTATCATCAATTTAAGAGCTTCTTCTAAACCAAAATAAATATAAGTGTCAAACTAACATTTTAACATTTTTTGAATTTTTAATTGGAAGAAAAATGTTTTTCAAAAATGTAATCTTAAAAAATCAAATATTACCTGATCATCGGTCTTTAAGTGAATAGTATCTATATAATTCATAATTTTTAGCTTTATTCTTTTTTGTGTTTGCAGTAAGTAATAGAATTTCATCTTCACTTGATGAAGACGAAGATTCTAAAAATTTATTTGCTACAGATAAGTCTATATTTCTTGTCACAACAGTTTAATTCAAACAGTATAACACTGACGTGGCCCCTGCCATCAAAATCGGGGCCACTTTAACTGCATTCAATGCACACAGAGTATTTTGCATTTCTAATGAAATGCGCATCACTTCAAATATGTTCACTTATCTTACCAATAAATATCTTCACTCACAATCAACGCTGCCAGTGCTAGCAAGTTTCTCCCAATAGAACACGGTATAACTGTTTTCAGAAATTCATCATGTACTATTTTCAAAATATATAATTATTAACATTTTATTATTGAGACATGTAATATTTTTGACCAATCAAGTATCTTTTGTTTAAAAGAAATATTCGGTTGTGGTTTTTCAAATTGCTCTTCGACTTTTTCGTCGTGACATAATTCTCCTTGATGAAGGTGATGTAAATTTCGCTATCATCAAAGATTCTAAAAATTGAAAAATTTGTTTATTTACAAAAAATATTTAATTTCTAAAAATATTACTTGTTACATATTCGAGTAAATAGGAAGCGCGAATATGAGAGCGCAGGTGCGAGTAGCGATGAGTAGGATCGAGCGAGCGAATCGGGGGGAGTCCGTCTCTTGTTCTGAGTCAGGAGTCACAAAAGGAGAGACTTTTCGGGAAACTCTGTAACAGATAACATGTAATCAAGTAAAGTTGTATTTCAATATAATAAGGAGCAAAGAAATTTCAACCTGCACTCTACCACGTTACTCTCCCAAAGATGAATACGAATACACGACATTACTAATAAATATACATATAATATATCTCACAGCTATCGTTATGCGATATTTTATTTGAAATTAAATAACAGTAAATACTTAATATCATATAGAGTATAAAAATAATATATATATTCTCACCTGATTTATAATGTTTTGCTAGTAGTTATAATGAATCAAAGTTTTCTTGATCTTCATCTTTATTACTAGAATTCATATATTTTACATTTGGTTTGGGTTTTCTTTTCTTATTTTGTATTTCATTTTCTAATTCAGTAGATTGTAAATCCGAAAAATCTTTACATACTTTCAGTTTCTTGTTAACCTTATTTAAATAAACTGAAATTTAAAGAATTATTATAGGGATGCATACATTTTCTACGAACTAAAATGTCAATCTTTTTTTATATACAAGTCAAAGAATAACTGAAAAATATTATCAAAATCGATGTGCTCAATATTTTTCCTTTTTTTTTCTTAAATGATTCAATATAAAAACTCAAATTCATAATAATTCTTGAATTATATGTATAAGCTAATTATAAATTGGTCAATGATGTCACATAATCATCATGCATTTAAGTAAGAAATATATAGCGGAGAGACCCGCGGGAACCGCGTACACATAACTTCCAGAGGTCCTACTAGACCAGACCAACTCGTATCTCGTGAGAGAAAGCAAGGCCACACTGCCACCGCACAGGGACCACGTGCAATGGACGCCTAAGCCCCCGCTCAAGTCCTATGATCCCCGCGGCCGCTACACTCTATTGCGCATGCACACATTCACACCTATATCTTCATACAGCCAAACACCCAGGCATGTATTCCGAATAGACTTTACAATGGCGTAAAGCCGCTGGCCCGGGCCAGCGGTGGGCAGTCACAGTGGTGAGGACATCGCCCATTCACCTCCTTCCCGACTCGACACAGGAACTCCTCAAAGCATCCGTGCCCGGAGAGCACCTGCGTCAGCCGAAAAGTCAATGCATTTGTCGGATCCAACCCCAGTTTCCCCTAGTTATGAAGCCTTTTAGCACGAACTTTTTTTTACTTTATGGCTTAGCATATGTAGTGAAATGTTATAATTCTTTGTAACGGCGCGGTATGTGGAACATTTCCTTAAAATTTTCCTTACACCTGCATCGACAATTTTTTTTTTCATAAAATATTTTAGATAACATCCAATTTTTTTATGTAAATCAATGTATCTGACTCTATTATTTGTTGCTATTTCGGTCACATTTAAGTTATTTTCTATAATTCTTCTTAAAACTTGATTACTTAAATAACAGTAAATACATAGTTTTCAACTCCCCCTAGCATTTATCCATTCACGCTCGCAAGGATAGAAAAGAAGTATGGCAGCTATCACTCAATGAGAAGACATACGAGACTCCAACAATCTCTGCCTCTATTTTTCGATAGCCCTTTCGCGACATCGGCACCTCACCGTTTTCAGGAAGCTCTTCGTCATCACGCGTCCCTCTTTCCAGAGCCGCCGCCGGACATCGTACATCGTATCTGTACGCATCACGGCGGCAATCTCGAGAGGGCGGACACCCGTCATAACGCAGACCGCATCGTATGACACCGTCCGATAACCACGGGTCACTCGTATTGCCATCCTGCTCATTATTCTCGTAATCATCACATTTTTCTTGGATCTACTAAGATTTCCCGCCCAGAACGGCGCACCATATAGGGCCACTGATGCGACTATCCCAGCATAGTCTGCGCGTACTCTTTCTAGAGCCAAACAGATTAGGGAGTAGCCGTCCCAACGCGTTGGATGTTTTGTCCGCCCTAGTGGATAGGTTCGCGAAGTGAGCATCAAAGCTCCAGCGACTATCAAGGATCAGACGCAAGTACTTAAGTCCCGTCCCGATCTCCACCGCATTATTAATCCTTAAACGTGTTTAAAGCGGCCTCCTCCGCGAAGCGTGGAACCATGGTATCTCAGTCGTGTAAGATGACATCTTGATTCCTACTCCCCTAATTCTAGGTATCATCTGGGCAATCCCCGCTTCAGCCTTTATGCGGGCGATCTCCCGGACGACGCCTTCTCTCCTCTCACTCTAACGCTTTCTCGATCGCGTTTGCTCTTTGCATTACTTGGAATCACGACGAGGACATGGCAAACAGGATCCCATATTTTTTATTTTTTTTGTATATTTTAGTTTATAATTTTTTTGTATAGTATTTTTATTTTTTATATTTTAAAAAATTTTTATAGATTAACAAATTTTAAAGAATTCTCCTCCGATATAAGTATTATTATGAAGATACTTAAACATACACTTTTCGTACTTTACCACCTGCAAATTGTTGAATTATTTCTATGAAATTGAAGGATTTTGCAAAGTCATTTTCTATTGATAATCTATCTTCGAGCATGGTAGAACGCAAATGTCTATAAGTTTTAATTTGCTGAAACTTCGTTCTCCTGAAGCTACAGTTACTGTAATAGAGTATTCGAAGAGCAGTCTACAAATTATGATAAATGTCTTGCCACTTATTCTCGTGAATCAGTTGAAGCACTTTCAATGACGACGATGGCTCATCGGAATCATTTAGTAATTGCTGTATAAAAATATTAATTATTATTTTTAAACATATACATATACATATACGAATTATAGAAATAATTTTGAATAATTAGAATATGTAATGTTAACTTACGTGTCTACAATAGAATAGAATCAGTGAATAGCTCAAGTTTTCATCAAAGTAAAATCAAGTAAAGACTGGGAAGACTGGAAAAAACTAAGAAATATCTTAATTAATAATTTAGTTTAGAAATATACTATAACTACGTGTTTTGATTATGTAATTTACGTATTAAATTACGTATTAAAGGACCACGCAGAAAACATGGAAAATGGCTTTCGGTAAAATTGGCTGAAATTTTGCCATTTTGTACTTCTTACTGATCAACGACGTGGACCTAGCGAGTCTCTGATTCCTTTGTGTGTATATGTGTGTATGTGTGGGTGAGTGGGTGAGTGGATATGCATGTGTATGTGTGGGTGAGTGTGTGAATGGGGGTGTGTGTGAGTGGGTTGGGGCTGGGTGTGCGTGTGCGTGTGTATGTGTGTGTGCGTGCATGCGTGCGTGTCAGAAGAAATAAGAACCCCACAATTCGTCACTTCCGCGGTAGCTAATGTGGGTGGACCCACCGTAGGATCCTTATTTCTGTTAACACTCACACCCACACCCCCCATACCTACCCACCCATCCACTTACACACACACACGCACACACACATACCCTCACCCACCCATTCACACACATAGACACGCACACCCCCACCCAGCCCCAACCCACTCACACACACACGCGCACGCACATGCACATGCCCACCCACCCTCACCCACCCCTCCACACACACACGCATACGAACACACACAAGCACACACATTCATATCCATCTACCCTCTCTCTCACACATAGTCACAAATACATATATACACATAAAGGGATCAGATACTCCTTACGTCCACGTCGTTGATCCTGGATAACGCTGAAAGCGAAAAATTATTATAGGCACTATTATCGAATTTTGAGCTATTCCAGACTAAAAACGGCTCGTAAGATTGACTTGTGACTATAGTAACTTATTTGATCAGCATTACTGGAAGTACAAAATGGCAAAGTTTCAGCCAATTTACCAAAAGCCATTTTGCATATGTTTTCTGCGGGGTCCTTTGTATGATAAATCAAAATGTTTTTCCTAAAAAAAAATTAATAGATATTATAAAAATATTATAAAAATGCAGGTTACATCAAATATAAAAAAGTTTATATTAAATTTAAGAAATAAATATTATAATATAAAATATAATAAATATATAATTTTCTTTTAACATATTTGCTTTTTCTTTTGAAAAATACTGAGAATTTCTTGTTTTAACTTGTTTCCTGAAATATTAGATTCATCGCTATCTGTAAACGTAGCTTATTCTAAGTTAATACATGCTTCTTGCAGTCTGTCCTTATCGGGTATAGTTTTGAAATTATAAAAACGACCATGTGGTATTAAATGTTGATAGTTGTTCGAAGTGAGTTTTTAAAGCACTTTCAATAGTATCGATTATTGGGTAGAAAATGGTCGTCTTGAATAATTCTTCAGAATTTGATGGCGTTTTATTTGCTGCTTCGTAACCAAACATTTTCTTCTCTCTTTGAATTCAGACTGATTTAACAACTGGCTGAATTTTAGCTTCGTTAGCTATATCCTTGGCCGTAATTATTGCCGTTGAGTAACCAATATTTCTATACTCTGTTACAAAAGTCAGGCGCTTTTCTAGCAAATTCGACGCATTTGATGTATCCATAATTTCCGCTTGTATAGCCTTACATACAATGTTGACTTGGAATAAGATGTCGTACCAAATAACTAATATAAATAAGAATGCAAAACCCTTCCTTATGCTCAGCCGACGATTTAGCTTCTGACGCAGCGACTGCATCATCTGTCTCTTTGTGGAGTTTAATGAGGGCACCGATCATTTTCGGATACTGAAAACGAACGGCTTCAGGACTAGAAATTCTGCTTTCCCATCAAGTTTCACAAACTTTTTAAATGTGTAGAACTAGTGTGAATCTCACGTTGCGAGTGGTAGGATATAAGGAATAGTCGCGAGAGATATATGTGCAAAATTAGCAAGTATATCCTTTAATTGGAACCTTAGCAATACAAGAAAATATACATGTGACTCAGCAGAAAAAGATACGTGCGCGGCACATGAAAAGAGAAGAAGAACAGTAGAGAGAGAACATAAGCTGAGGAAATATCGCTCCTTGCCTATCTCGATAATCACGAGATGGCGTTACAATATAACAACGCGGAAGGTGACAGAATAGATTTAATCTATTATTCCAACACGCCCTCTCAAGTTGCGCGTTAATGATTTTTGAAGTTTGCAGCTAGTAGTCCCAACTCTTTCAGGCATCTTTCGTGCGAGACACGAGGAAGTGCCTTAGTGAGGATATCAGCAGTCATACGTGTTGTGGGCACGTGTTGTAATTCCAATTTACCAGATGCGACCTTCTCACGAACGAAATGGCATCGGACGTCTATATGTTTCGTCCGAGCATGATGAACAGGGTCGGAAGCTATGTATAATGCCCCGAGGTTGTCGACAGAGAGAACGATCTTTCCATATTCGTCCATCCCAATCTCGTGGAACAGGCTTCGCAAATAGATGGCTTCCTTGGTAGCTTCCGAGAGACTAATGTACTCGGCCTCGGTAGACGATAAGGCAACTGTCCGTTGTTTCTGAGATCTCCAAGAGATTGCGGCTCCACCTAAAATATAAACGTAACCAGTATAAGAACGACGGTTAGATGTGTCGTTCGCCCAATCGGCATCTGAAAATCCGTGGATAGGGTCGCCTGCTTGGGTATAGACAAGCGCCAGATCAGACGTCCCCGACAAGTATCTCAGAATTCGCTTAGCCGCTGACCAGTGTTTAGCCTGAGGGTCATTCACATGTTGAGCCAGTCTGGAGACAGCATTTGCGATGTCTGGCCGTGTTGCTACAGCCAGGTACATTAATGCACCGATTAACTCACGATACGGCCATTTTTCTGAGTTGGGAGCCTTATTCACCAATGGCTCGGTTGCGGAACGCTGTGATGGCATCTCAGAAGGTGTAGCTACCGCGTTGCAGTTTTCCATTCCATATTCTTTCAGCAACGCCATGATATAACCCGTCTGAGATAGCTCAATCACATTGTTTTTTT